AGACCGAAAAAAAAAGAAAAAAAAAATGCAGATCGTCGATCATCACTGATACAGGCGCAATCCTTTTCTTTCCCGAAGCACACAATTTCCGTATTGAAGATGGAAAGAATCATATTTGAATTTGAAAAACACAAGCATGATGATTTTACTGATGAATTTGAAAAACGCAGATCGTCGATCGTTGTTTTTTGTTTTCACGACCATATACCACATTGAAAAAACGGAGAAAAAAAAAGAAATAGAGGGGGTCGTCGATCGGATAAATTGAAGATTTGGAGTTATATTTTGTGATATTAACCTTCATTTAATCGTAGTAGATGTTGATTTTTTGTGCTGATGGGTATATGTATATTTTCGTTTTTTTTAGATGGATTCGAGCATGATGATTTTACTGATGTATTATAACCTGTTATAAACCGTTAATATAATACACATATACTGTACATGTTATATACCTATAATATACCTGTTATATATTGATAATATACTATTATATATTGATAATATACTATACATATACTAATATGTGCAACACGATCACCTTTTGTAACTGGTTATATAATATACATATAATATTATACAACACATATGCATATGCTATATTGGTTATATACTTATAATATACTAATATAGTTAATTTTTTATTCAGTGTATCTTTATCCTGTTATATACATATAATACACATATACTGTACATGTTATATACCTATAATATACCTGTTATATATTGATAATATACTATACATATACTAATATGTGTAACACGATCACCTTTTGTAACTGATTATATAATGTACATATAATATTATACAACGCATATACATATGCTATATTGGTTATATACTATAAATTATAATATACTAATATAGTTAATTTTTTATTCAGTGTATCTTTATCCTGTTATATACCGATAATATACTATAGTTTATTGAGCAGAAGTTGGTAGTTTCGTTGGAACCGTTTATCGGTTTTTTTCAAGCAGAAGTTGGTAGTTTCGTCTTTGCCAATGAAGAGGGTTTTTTTGAATTGAGAGAGGTGAACGTGGGGCGGTGGTGGTTTTGGAGAGAGTGAGAAATGATCGCACATTCAGATAGAGAACAAAATTGGTTCCGTTTTTTTTTGGTAAGTAAATAATTAATTTCAATTAATTATATCACTGCATTTGGAGAGTGAAAAAATGATTAGCATTAATGACCACATTAAGAGGGAGAACCAAATTGGTTCCGTTTTTTTTTGGTATGTAAATAATTAACTTCAATTAATTATATCACTGCATTTAATTTGTGCGGATAATTCATTAGAAACGGTTACATATTGATAGTTCCTGTTTTAGGTATAAATGAAATATTTTATGCATGTTTTAGTAAATTTTTAAATAAGCTCATAATAGATGCACAAGTGTAACATATATATCATAACTTAAAGTAGGAGATGTAATTTCCTCAAGGAGAAAAGCATTGTCATTTGGGCTCGGGCCACACATGTCAACCCAAGTATTGGACTCGCTACATCATGCATGCACCACAACCCAATTTACATTATGAGCCCAATTTAAATATTAGTGTTCTGTCCAAGATAAATAAAACCAAATAAAATAACATAAAAAAAATTCCATTATTTTTTCATATTCCTGGTTGTGACTCGCAATTTAGGAAACGATGAATCTTTGTTTGTATTGCGGGGTTCAATTAATTTATGTTTTGGGTAGAAATTCAATTTTATGGTACTATGTTCCTGACAATGTGTATGGGTTTGATTCAGCTGCTGTATTTTGTTAAAGGTACCGCCTTTACTCGCAATTTAGGGAACGATGAACTTTGTTTGTATATTTGTGGGGTTCAATTAATTTATGTTTTGAGTATCGAAATTCAATTTTATTGTACTGTATTCCTGACAATGTGTAGGGGTTTGATTCAGCTGCTGTATTTTATGTTCTTATGTGTTTAATTTGAATAATTTATTCTTTTAAATTTTTGTGTGTGGTTAAAATAAATGAATTTGATGGAAAGTTTTGAGCTTTATGCATATGGGTATAGAAAAAGTTCGTGGGAAATTGCAAATTCTTTTATTTACTTATAATGAAAGTTAAGCACTGTCAAGTAGGAGGTTTTAAAGAGATTTGTGGACATTTTACGAAGATCATAGAGTAGAAGCAAACAGGGTTCTTTGCTTTTAGCTGAAAAAAGAGCTTATTTTTCTAGCTACAAATGATGAACTTGTTTCTACTTTTTTACTATTTGTTCACCCGAAGTGGCTGGAGACTAATGTAAAAAATGAGCATTGGAAATGTTTTACAGTTGATAAAGGAGGATGTGTGCTTTATAGCAATAAGTGGATGCACTGTTTGAGAATTAGTTAGTTGTTACATCAAGCTAGTTGGAAGTTATCGTTGATCTTATCATGAGTTTGATCTTGACCTCTTTGGGAATGTAAACTTTTCATTGTTACTTATTTTCTCTTTCAGTTTTCTTTTTCAGTGTTGGGGCCAGGATTTGAACAGAGGGATCAATGTAATAAGTACAGTCTATAATTATGAAACACTTGCTAGAATAAGGATATGGTTAGGTTATGTTAAGGAATTCCATTGCTCGAAATTTATGAATTTGGTGAAATTAATGTACTTTATGCACATTGTTGGCTGCATATTAAAGAGAGAAAAAAAAAAATGAATATGTCCCTCCACTAAGTGAGACGTTGTACAGTTCTCGATTTGACATACACTATGGCTATTTGAATGATGGTAACCTTATTACTGAAAACGATCTGTTCATAATTTGCACGTTTCTGTCTCGTGTTTGATTGTGTATGACCTATGAAGTAAGACCAGAATATTTTGGGGACATGTAGTGGAGCTCTTTTTCTGATAAGCAATCGTACAGTAAATGAATGTTGTTCCGTCTTGTATGTGTACAGAAAAAATTATCAGCCGGAGCACTTTTTTTTTTTTTCATAAAGTCAACCCAAAGACATGTTATATTGTTCCAACGTCTAAACCAGTACACTTTACATACAAGACGGGTTTTTTTTATCCACCTTTCTTATGTAATCCTATGATATATCTCTTAATCATTCTTTCCTATAACCTAATTTTCATGATTCATATGTTTCCTGTTACTTTCTTGTTTTAACAGGTAACTTGCTCTTCTTCACATTTCAGAAGCAATTCCCCATGCACAAAATCGCTACCTTCGCCGACCAACTCTTTCGCGCGCAATGATTCGTTCTCCCAATCAGTTTTCCACACAACCGTCAAAATCAACACCACACATGCCACCTGTGCAGCCAGAAGCCCGTAGCAAAGGCCCACGAACTCAAGGCCCGTAAAAAACGCCAGGGCCACCGCCACCGGCATTCCTATCACGTAAAACGAGCAAAAATTTATCCCGGCCCCAATCCCGGGCCTCGCGCAACCCCTAAGAACCCCACAGCACGTTGTCTGTGGACAGTTTGCCAGCTCGCAAAGCCCGATAATCGGCAGCACGTTTATCGCCAGCCCAAGAACCTCACTGTCGTCCGTGAAGACCCGGGCCCAGGCCCGTCTCCCTAGAGTTGTCAGCAGAAACCCGAAAACCGATGCAAAAAAGGCCAGCCCAATCGCCACTACAGCCGCCAAACGGGCCTTGTGGGCCCGATTTGCTCCAAGTTCATTCCCAACCCTAGTCGAGATAGATGAACTGAGTGCCGAAGGCAAAGTGTACATGAGTGACGTCGTTTGTATCACTATAGCAGATGCCGCTAGCCCCACGTGAGGTTTGCTAAGGTAACCCGCGAAAATCGTCATGAATTCGTACCACCACCACTCCAAACAGACCCCAAGGCAGCTGGGGCCCGCCAGTCGTATCAGAATGCCCCACTCGTCGAAAAAGCTAGTCGTCGTTGAGATGCGTTTTTTGGCCGGAGGGCTTTTTTCGTAATTTATGTAGCTCAGGAGGAAGAAAAACACGTTGACGTTTGAGATAAAAGTGGAAATCGCGATTCCTTTAATGCCTAACCGCTGGTGGAAAGTGAAGAAGACGGTGAGCGGGAAATGCAAAAGCGTCGATAAGAAAGTGCACCAAAGCAAAGGCCACGTGTTCCCTTTGCTGCGTATGAAAATACGTAAAGGTTGGAGTACGCTATTGGCTATAAGGTCGGGTATTGCAAATCGGCAGTAAATGCTGGCCACGTGTACCACGAGTGGTTCTTGGTGGAGGCAGAGCAAGAGGGGCTCGAGGTAGACCCAAAGAATTAAAATTGGTAAGCTTGCAAGAAGTAATAATATAATTGTTCTCTGGAGTGTGAGGGATGATTTGGAGAAGTTTTTCGAGCCGTAAGCTTGGGTGCAGAGAGGCTCCATCCCTGTGGCAAGTCCAAAAAGGACTGAATAGCCCGTGATGTTTGTGAAGCCGACGGCTAATGCACCTCCGGCTAGTTCGGTGCTTCCCAAACGTCCCATGCATGCAACAGAGATCATGTTTTTCAGGTAATTTAGTATGCCCATAGCTAGTATGGGGAAACCGATGGCAGTTATATTCTTGAGTTCCTCCATTA